AAGTTGAAAATATAACATTTTACGAAAAAAAATACTCATAAAAACACAGCAGTGACGAATGCATTCAGCGAGGTTAAAAGAAAAGTGCAAATAAAAGATAAAAACCTAAAACTATTGCATGTATAGTAATATTCATCACCTCATTTGCATAAAAAATAATGTGTTTCTTACTATGTACATTCAAAAGGGAATATAAAAGAACAATAACCATCTCCTTATTTAAACATATTATCTATGTGTTATCAGATATATCGCAATGGTCCAAAGAACCCTTTTTATTTAGTAAGAGAGTGACCATACAGGTATTCCAAATAGTGTGTTAAATAGACATTGTTAGTTATACCTTGCTGAGAGTAGCCCACATCTGACAAAATAATGGCTTCCACGTGTGTCGTTTCAATATGTCAAGGTTATGATAAAAAAAATAAACAAAAACATTTTCAAAAATCACAAATTTCACAAATTACAATATAATTTATTTAAAACCACTGAACAAGTCATTAAACAATAACAAAAATCGCAACAATTGGAGGAATAAAATATTTTAAGATCTCAATATTTTGTTCAACTTGAACAAAATAAACTTTAATTTGAATTGGCCATGGTTAATCAGCAAATTGTTTATATGGTGCCAGTTGAGTTCTTAAATTTATCATTTAAAGGAAATTGCCAAATGAGCACATCCTTATTACACCGTTAAAAGCTACTAGTAAGTGTTTTGTGATCAGTTTATATTAAGGCCTGTACGCCAAGTGAATTCATAATATATGCATAGATGTAATTCAAATTGTTAAGAAGTGCTCGTATTTACTCTTCGCAGTCATCGAAACTCACAGATCCTTGATGACCATTGTTGATATGGTATGTTTCCCATGTCTCTTGTTACAGCGGCATGAAAAGTACAAGCCAGAGATACAAAAATACCTCTATGATACTAACAATAGAGTATCATATCCTTAGAATTTCCTAAATGTTCAATATTCACAGTAACAGTAGAATTAGGCAGATAATTTGAGGCCCCCGAAGCAAAGATGCGAAAAATCCTTAACACTGGGTTTTAACACAGACATTTTAACATGTAAAGGCTATCATTGTATCATTATTACGATCTTTTGTATAGAAAACAACAAACGTACTTGGAACTTTTAATGAATCTATATATCAAACTAGTTACTTCTTACATACAATTTAAAAAAAAATAAGGCTTTGTATAAACATATTACCCAGATTATGTTAGATATACGAATTTAGTATAGATTATTGTGACAAGATTTCTGAACACCCCGTTTGAGGCTGAAAATTGAGATAAAAGATTAAACGTGACACCCATAAATGTTAAGACCACCATCATAAATTGGTTGATCTATACGACATATCTTTGACTAAACGACATTTTACCACATCTTATATTGTGGCTTACCATACACGTCGTCTTGTTGCGTGACCTATTCCAAAATAATTCTGTTTTGTCAAATGTAAGATTTGCATCGCTAAACGACTTGTCTGGGAATTCATACATCCAACATTCATGTACTTAGTTATGATGTTTCTTTTGTTAGTCTTGTTAAATATTGTGTTTTGTTTTACCGTTTGAGGTTTGAATTCAGTATTTTGTTCATGGTTAGAAAATTACTAAGATAACATCATCACTAACTCAATCCTCATTCAACATTCTAATTATAGAAATTTACCTGTGATGATAAAAACACAAAAACGTTACAAAAAAAACGTCACATTTTGTGGTATTGATACATTTGTGTGACGCACAGTTTATTATTCATTTGTGTTGTCCTGATTTAATGTCGTAAATTCATGGGATGTGTCTTATGTTATGCTGAGATTTATTTACATTTTGTAATATACTATAATATAATTTATTCACGTATTTTTCTGTCCTGAATATTCTTTTTTTTATTGCTCTTATTCCTGCCATGCAATGTTCAAATTTAAGTGGCATTTAAGCATTGTCATGTAAGCGAAACGTTTGGCTAGGCATAAAACCAGGTTCAACCCACCATTTATTCTTAAAATGTCCTGTACCAAGTCAGGAATATGGTAGATGTTTTCAGATAGGACCTTTCTATGTATTTTGGCGTTTGTTTTTGTTGCAGTTCAGTGTTTCCGTTGTTCCGTTGTTTTCCTCTTTTAAAGATGATGTGTTTTCTTCGGGCTTTTTAGGAGGTCCGGCTTTGTGTTCTCTTAATCGACTAATGACTATTGAACAGCGGTATACTTCTGTTGCTTTAATTAAGATACTTTACATAATTTTGAATGATGGAATGATCAACTATTAAAGCTTTTTTAAATGCTTTTAATTTGAGCTCAGAGTAGTTTTATACAGGTTGAGACATGTCGTGTCAAAAAAATGCACATAGGATAAGCTGACAATATTTTAAGAATTGTTTTCAAAATCCACATGTGGCACCCTTTGTGTTGCTCATACTATAAAAATTCCGGTAAATAGACTAATTGGATGGTCACATTTGTGAAAATGGAACGGGATTCTTTACGACATAAAGAACATATCCGATATCATATGTGAAACGGATATTCTATGGCGGTCAATCAACTTGTGACGGTGTCCTTTAAATATACGAGGGGATGATTCCAACTTCACCATTTGGGATTCTTAGTTTAATAGCTTCCTTGTGAGCAGCAACCCTCTATCTAGGAAATCATTATAGGAAATTCAAGCCCGGGAATATAGTATCAATTGGGAGATATATACTCCGAATGTCGGCGCTGCTGGTATATTGGTACATATAAATTGAAAGTTCAAAATTTGGAAGTTTAAGTCATCTCTTTTGTCGGAAAGTTTTGTTTTCAACCGACCCTCATTGTCAATTTATAGATGTAAGTCAAGATATGAGGCAGACTCAACTGTACCTGTTGTATCCTTTATCCTTTCCCCCCACCTTAGTAGCAATATATCAACTGCACATGCATATGGGATAAACATTTCCCAACGTATTAGATATTCAAGAGCTTGCAGCTCCTACTCAGACGTTGTAAAACGTCATCAGCGTCTGAGCAGAGAGTTGTTGAACCAGGGGTATGTCAAAGAACGTTTCGTCCTTTTTCTAAAAAAGTTCATCGGAAGGTTCCAAAACCTTGTACTTATACATTCCGTCAATGTTTTTATATTATCCATCATTTTTGCTGTTGTGTTTTGTATGTGCGAATTTTTGTGTTTCTTTGGCTCATTGGAAGTGACTCTGTACTTTTAAAGATCTCGCCATTATGTTGTTGTCCTATTATATGTCATTATGTTATTGTTCTATTATAAATTTGAAAATACTTTGAACGACAAAATTATTTTACTCGCGTAGTGGTATTAACCATATGTGGATTCTTAAAAATTCTAGAGAACTTCAGGATAATTTTAAATATCGGTCTGTTTCTGAAATAAGTTCTTACATAACTTTTGATTTTTTCAAATCTGTATACCACCATTCTTCATGTGAAATTATAATTGTTTTGAAAATACTTTGAACGAGAAATTTTTTTTTATATTTCTTCCAATGTGACGTTTACATTTTCTGACGTCAATTTCGCGAAGCAATGAATGTGGTTTTAATATTTTATAGATGCTTTTTGTGCTTTTGTTAAATATTTGCTTGTTTTTTTATTGTGACACAGTGATGACTGCTGTACCATATTTTGACTATTTTACCTATTATGTCTGTTTTGTTCCAGCATCGTTGTAAATATAATGAAATTTGATGCGACTGTCATACAAGTGAGAGGTTTAGCGCTATAAAACCAGGTTCAATCCACCATTTTCTACATTTGAAAATGCAAGTACCAAGTCAGGAATATGACAGTTGTTGTCCCTTCGTTTGATGTGTTTTATCATTTGATTAGGGACTTTTCGTTTTGAATTTTTCTCAGAGTTCAGTATTTGTTGTGATAATACTTTTTATCTCTAGTTCGATGGAATAGATGCGTTCAACATAGTCACCAAAAAATTATTTCGTGAGAGAACATGATCTATAAAGCGGAAAGTTAAGTTAAAGAATATTGCTTAATTTGTATCTTCCTTACTGAGAAGTTCCTGAATAAAGTTTTATCGGAATAAAGGAAAAAGTCAAGAAAGGGGCACATTTGGTTCCCATGGGAATGCTGATAGTTTGTTGAAAAACACGTTCTCCCAACGTAACAAATATGTTGTCAATCAAGAAATAAATCATCTAAGCAATACTTAACCGTCTATATTTGTCGACTCTTTCTATGACCATACTGAAAATTCTGAAACTTATTCCCCACCATAGCGAAACAATCTAAACAAATTTTCAAGCTGTACTTTTCATACATGTATACTTAACCAGTCCTTGATCTATTTTCAATTTCTTAGCAATACTTACCTTATTAATATATTACCTCTTTGTCAAGTTTTACTTGCTATTAATATTAACAACTCATGACATGGAGGTGATCGATGGCCTTAGTTCGATCTTTTCGTATCGTCAATTATATATGTATATGATATAACAGAATTGCATATAGAGGTTTGTTTAAACTGAACCGCTGATGCATACATTTTTGTGAGAGTATTTTGGGTTTAAATTTGGTGGTTTGCTGGCCTTGAGCGTGTTGAATAAAAGGCAAAAAGAATAAACGGCTTGATTAAATTCCGTCAATAATGTTTTGGCAGGTGTATTAGTCTCCCCCCCCCCCCCCCCCCCCCCCCCGTGCATAGTGTGCTTTGTAGTGCTGATTCATCGTTAAATGGAAAGTATATTGATATTTTTTTCGTTTCCAACGTTTACTCTCACAATAATTGGATAATTCGCAAAATATTAATTATATCAGATACTGAAATGAAAAAGGTATCGACGCTCTTTATACGATCCAACACGTCCAAAGATGAAATGTTTCTAATGACATCAAAACTTAAAGAATGAATGAAGGCAAAAGGTTCGTTATTTGTCGTTTGACACTTTTTTATATTCAGTCACCTTACGTAAAAGAATTAGATAATACATAACACTAAGACAAAATGTAAAGAGTTCTTTTATTTGCTATTTAAGTGGAAATACCAGTGCTTCGTTGTCAATTCTTTTGAAAAGTGAGCAAGGCATTCAATGACATAGGCTTAAATCAAGGTGATGGTGTGTGTTCAGTCAGTATTGGAACAGCACTGGAAACTCATGCTAAGGCCATTTTTTAACAATGATATTACCAAACTCGTTTGTGTATTTGAAAAAAAAAACATCAGACCTCGTGAAAACTTTTTACAATTTCACAAACATGTTTATGAATTTTCCAGTTTCGTTTTTGACATTTCTTGGAACAATACGTGGCTGTTTTACATCTGCTACATGTTTTTTGACTGCGGAGAAAACACTGAAAACAAAATTTAGTTCTGGAAGTGTTCCTTGTAAACCACGTGTTGTACAAAAAAACCAACGCATGGAACTTTGCAGAATTGAATTGGTATATTTTTTGTTTCATTTCGTTTATACCGGTCTGAAAACATATTCTGAGAGAATCCATTGACTTCCATGACATGTATAACTGTGTTAGAGCTAATGGTGTCATCCCAATACTGAAAAAACACCAGGCTTGCAGGTTAAATGCAACATCAGGATGGTGAACATTTGTTATGTCGTGAATTTGTAAAATGTCATAAAAATCTTCCATGGAGCAATCAGCTCCCCTGAATTTTCTTTTAATTAAGAACCTGAGCAGAAAATAGTAAGTATTGCTGTCAACATAAGCCCCATCCTTAATTATTGAATGTTTTTCACTTGAATTCAATGAAATACCGAAGTATTTGAATAGTTCATACTTCATAGCGTCGGGAATTATTTGAAGTTCCGTTATAAGAAATAAAAAAGATTTTGAGTCGAACATTTTTGGAGTTTCAAAGAAAGAGGGATTTTTTTCTTTATAACGATTTAAGTGCCATTCACAGTCTTTATAACAACCAACAGTGTATAATACGGATATAAACTTCAGGTATCCAGTTAAGTCACCTTTCCTGAAGTATGTCAAAGATCCCAACAAAAGGAAATTGCGAACCTGAAGATTCGGTTGGCGGATAGACATTGCAGAAATATGACTAGCCAAGTAAGTATAGACAACGGATGCTAATAGCGATAGAGAACGTCGTGTGTCTTCCGTTGTGTACGCAAACATAGTACCCGTGGTTTGAATGTTTTCTAGCAAACGCCAAAGAAAGTCTATCAAGTTTGTACTGTCATTGGTGGATATATATGCACTAAAAGAACTTAGTGCATATGTGGCAGGTTCCGTATTCATTTCATATAACATTTCTCTATATGATTTTATGCTATATTCTTGAAGCAATTGAAACAATGTGAAAGACTCCCGTACTTCAACAAACTCACATATGTGATTTGATTTTACATAACGCAAACAATGAAATCCGTCATTTAAAAGTTTTACTAATTGTTGTTCTGATTTTATTCTCACACTTTCAGAAAGTCTTCCATCAAAAATATTTTCTCCTGCGACAAAGTAGTTAGGACAAAAACAATCTTTAACCCATACTAACATTTGCTTTATACACAGCTTAACACAATGCAGAAGAAGATTTTTTTTCCAAACATCCCATTTATTCTTCTCTATTACATAAAACAAACATGTCTTCCAATGGTACGAGGTTATGCATTCCAAATTTATAATATCACGATTTAACATCTTAAGAAGAACGTAACATTTATATTGGACATCTGTTAGATTAAACATAAGTTTCCGTTCTTGTAATGTAAGAGATATTCGCCATTCTAAATCTATTTCTGATGAAGAAGGGTGGCCTTTTCTGACGACAAAATACCCAAGTGATTTTAGCTCATTAATAGTATATTCTGTTGGCCATCCGTTATATCGACGTCTGGTTAGCCATTCCTGTGCATCTGCTGGCCATTGTTTGCAACGATAAGACCAGACCATATCACATTTTCTTGTTGTATCATTGTTTTTATCATTAAAACAAGGCCCGAGTTGTGCAGCACACTTGTTATTGGGTCTTGAAAAACGCCGTGTGCCTTCTCCACTATCATATGCAACATCAGTCAGAACTATTCGTTCAAATCTATCAATTTTGAAAAAACGTTTATTACTAATTTCGATAAGGGATAAATGTTGAATTGTGTATGGTACACTTCTCTTTACGAATTGTAGTTTGCAATACCCAGGAGCTGTATCTTGTTCTTTAATAATCAATAGTGAATCTCGGTTTTTTTCAGCCTGTGATATGTCTTCGATGACATCAAGACTGTCATCACAATAGATAGTGTCAAGGTCAATAAGTATACCTGTCAAAAATATATGAATGGTGTTAATACACTCTTTAAAATTGTTCACATAGTTTGTCTCATATGCAATCTAAATTTTCGTTGCTAATACATACATATCAGGCAAGGGGCGAATTACATTGCAATGAAATGCATAGTATTATTAATGTCAAAAATATATGAATGGTGTTAATACACTCTTTAAAATTGTTCACATAGTTTGTCTCATATGCAATCTAAATTTTTGTTGCTAATACATACATATCTGGCAAGGGGCGAATTACATTGCAATGAAATGCATTGTATTATTAATGTCAAAAATATATGAGTGGTGTTAATACACTCATTAAATTTTTTTACATAGTTTGTCTCATATGCAATCTAAATTTTCGTTGCTGATACATACATATCAGGCAAGGGGCGAATTACATTGCAATGAAATGCATTATATTACAATTACTTTGACAAAACCATGCATTAAATCAAAATTACAATTACATGCTGCATTTATCAAGGTAATCCATTACATTACAATCTCTTTTGCAAGGTAATGCATTACATTACAATCTCTTTTGCAAGGTAATGCATTAAATTACACATTACATTTGTAAAGCTATTTCAGTGAAAAAAAATTAAAACATTTTGAAAAACAACCTGAAGTCACAAAATATTCAAGCATAGGCAATAACTGTTCCGTATACTGATCCTAGATTTAAGTATCAAGTAAAAAGTCTATTCACTACTTTTTACATGTTTACATCAACATAAATTTCGTGTTCACAAAAGTATGAATTTTTCGAAATCCCAGACATAAATTATCTTAGTTGTATTTGGCACAATTTTTTTGAATTTTTGGTCTTCAATGTTTAAAATTCTGGTAATTTTGATATCTATTATCTCTAAATTGAAATTACAGAGATGGAGTTAAACATACTATCTTTTTAGCTTAAATGTTAACTTCACTTTTATAAATATACTTTTGTTTTACTAATTCCAATCAAAAGTATTTACTGAGAATTACTTTCCTCATTACAATTACAATTTTGCATTACCCAATGCCTGATACATACATATCCTTGAGCATTGGAGAATTGACTCCCTAGTCCAAAATAAAATAACAAAAATATCGAACTCCTAAAATAATTCAAAACAGAAAGACCCTGATCAAAATCAAAAGCTTAAACCAGTCAAACTAATGAAAAACAAATGTCTTATTCCCTACTTGGCACATGCATTTTCTTATATATAAAATGGAAGATTATTGCTGGTTTTATAAAAAATATATTGGTTATATTAATTTTGTCCAGGTTTTTTCTATGATTTCAGACAAACAGTAAGTGCTTATTCTTTTTTATAATATATGAGTTCTGAATTGTCAGTTTTCCGTAGTTCTCAAAATTTTATGTATGTACTTTGCTCTGCTTTTAACCGCTGTTTTTTTGGGTTTTTTTTAATAAAAGTTTTAGAATGTTTTGATTCGATTGCCACTACTGAGTCTTGTTTAGTCAAATGTGCTTTATTTCGTTGATGTCATTGCTTATTGACGTTTTGTCGCCGAAGGTATCACGAGCTTAGTTGTAAACTCTTTGGTGTGAACAAAAATTATAACTGATATTTTTTTATTATTTTCTGCTAATTCATTGTATATTTAAAGTTTAATTATTCGATATACTAAAGTGTTTAACTCAGATATAGATTTTTAAACCTTTTGGATCCCTGTTATGTTAATACACTTCAAAGTCTTATTTTATTGACCTTCCTAACTCTTTTAATATCTTTTTAAGATTTTGAACTCTCCTTATTACGCTGACACCAAAACAATAAGTTATTTGCACACAATTATCACAATGTGCTCTCTGAGGCAATTTCACACTTACACCCTTTTTTTAATACCGGATCCTTAGCGAAGGTGCTTGTTTCTAGAAATGAACTTCTTCCTACTTGTTTTTTCTGTTGTTTTTTTTCTATTTTTGTCATTTTCATACAGTTTTTGTGTACTAAATTTTTATTAACACATTTGATTCCAATTACTTTCATTACAAGCATCAGTACATTTTTGCTTGCTTTTGAATATTCTGATCAATATATGTATATACACAAATCATAAAAGGACAACATATTGTCGACCATCAGATAAACAGTGAATACGATTTGATTTAAGTTTAAAAGGTGCGAAGGGGAAACGTGAAAACAATAAGTTCTTCTCCAGTATAGTAATAATTTAGGTCATATGGCAAAATCATAGGTACTTTATTCGTGTGATTTGCCACACGTGACTTTGGTCCTTTTGATTAAATTACTTCCCTTAGTTGTAGATTGAACAAATAGATTATACCAAATTTGCGAAAAATCCAGCCCTTACCCGTCATGGATCTTACACTAATGTGTCTTTGAAAACTTCCTTTGGCGGATATTTACAAACATTTTGTTTAATTCTAAGCAGGTAGGATACAAGTTATTTAACCTTAAATTTCAACATACACGGTTTTTTCCCTATATGCGGACAAATCATGAACAATATCTTTTTTTTACGATTTTTCGCTATTCATATAGCATGTATACTACAGTTTCGCTTCCGATTTTCAAACTAAAAAGGCCGAAAGTTTTCAAAGTTAACAATGTTAATTTGTACACGATCAGAAGTAAAAAAAAACATGTACAATTCACCTATATGCAGAAAAATTGTTGATTCGATATAGGAATTGGCATATTTGAATTTATATTTAAGGGGCATGTATACTCCTATTGTAATGTTCGTCGTCACGATAACACAATATGGCCGCTATGCAAATTTGTAAAGTACCCCAAATTTTGCTTTCTGTTAAAGGTTATGATTTAAACGCTTAAATACTTCTAGTATAAAAAATGGGCAGATCTTTAATATTGTATGTGATAGTATTTCCCATACCTTTAAATAGTGCTGAATTTGTTTATTTTCCTTAGTTTTAGATGACAACTGTTCCTCATTAATGACACTGACTAATGAAGCAATATGATGGTTGACATAACACATGTTGGGTTAACACAATGGGTTAAACAGAATGTTAAAAATATAAGTAGAGTTTCTCTTTCATTGAAAAAGTGGTTGTGCTTGTAACAAATTGTAACATTCAAAACTTGTCAATATGATTGATAATTAAGTCAGAGCAAGAAAGGTTTCTCTTTCAGATCGCCTGATTGAGTTTTGCAAGCTTAAATTTTGTTCACACTCTTGAATATCTGTGTATTTACATTTTATTTTACACTAAACATCATTTTTCATTTGAAATCTTTCGGCCTTTTTAGTTTGAAAATCGGAAGCGAAATTGTAGTATACATGCTATATGAATAGCGAAAAATCGTAAAAAAAAGAAATTGTTCATGATTTGTCCGCATATAGGGAAAAAACCGTGTATGTTAGTTTAAGGCACACGAATGTCTGGAATTGGGTTTTAAGTTATTATTAAGTTGGTTTGAAATAAATGCATGTTACTTGATCAAGATTGATTTGATGTTTTATCGTTTGCTTTTAATGTTATATGTCTAGTGTTTCTTTTGTCATGAATAAATACATTCCGTTCTACTTTACGTTATATAATGAGTCACCTGGTGTATTTGACCCTTCGAATGTACCTCCAACTATAAAAAGAGAAATTATTGGTGCTTCTAGGAAATTTTGGATAATCTCCTGCGTTATGTAAGATCGTTGACAAGTCTTTCTAAAATCATCGTTCGCTCCAATAATATCAAGGACTCCAAATAACCATATGCTATCATTTTCTTCACCTGAAAATATTTGTTGGTTGGTCAAAATGAACTGAATTGTTATTCAACATAAATGTAATAAATATAGAAATCATTTTTGAATGCATAGTCTCTTCGTGTTAAAAAGTGTTAAAGTGTTGTACATATTTATGATTAAGGTGTCCACGAGGCCAAAGTAAGAAAAGTGTAATTTGATCAAGCAGACGTTACAGTGCAAGGGAAAAACATAACCTTCAAGTGCTGTACTTAAATCAAATTTACAAATATCAGTCTATTATCAAAAACCAAAATAACTACATAGTAAACACGTTTTTTTTTTAAATAAGAAAAGAAAAATCAGTTGTTAGTGTCCATAAATATTTGACATTGTTTAAATTTATCTTGAAATCAATGTTCAAGATGAATTCGTCAAACAACTTTTGTCAATATTATTAGGGATATTCGGGACTCTTGTCTTCAATTTTTTGTCATATATATCGAAATTACGTTTTCTTTTCATATAGGTGTAATACCACCAAATAATGGTACGTCACATCCGGTTGTATACGAAAATAGGTCGAAAAAAAATATTCCCTTGAATTTGATAGTTGTAGGTAATTACTCCTACATTTTATTTCAGTAAAACATTTCTGTGTCATAAACATATGTCTTGGGTATTTCAAAGCACCATTATTTTTTTTATATGGAGTTTCTATAGAAAATTTTGTAAACTTGAGGTTACATGGTTACTAAATCTTGTACACAGATTAAATAAGGGGAGACATTTGATTGGTTAATTTCCAGTGATGGTTATTTTCCTATATGCAATGAAATGTTGAGTGAAATTTTTTCAAGACAGGGCTGCCTCATTTACAAAAAGAAAAACAAAGATTTTTTTAAGTTTCTTTTTACATGCTGTATTTTACTTTCAGCTATAGAAATGATGTCATATCACTCAATCATTCACTATTCATTCAGTGGTTACACCTCTGATACAAAATGTACCCAAATGATCTGAAGATACTTCTGACACTAAAAGGATTGCTGAACAGCTTGCACTGTTTAGTTATATTGACAGAGATTGACAAATTCAAACTAGAATTTATAACAAACGTGACGAAATTGTGCGGTGATGCATAACAAACAGGACATGATTTCAACTTAGTTCTTTATTTGGATTTTTATCTATTTTTGTTGTTTTTTTAGAGCGAACTGGTGGTTCTTGATCTTTTGAAAACGAACGCACGTCTGGCGGAACATATTAATTCTGGTTTATATGATGATTGTATAAACCCTGTGCTGTTGTCACAATATTTGTATGTCGGGCCTTAGTTCGTTTTAAAAATGATTAATGAGCTGTAAAGTAAGAATCATACCTGAGAAGGATAGTGCCGCTGTAATATTAATTTAAATGGAACAATGGGCGAAATGACATCACGATATAAAATACCTCCTTACCAGTACTTTAGTGAGTGAATAATGTATCATTGTTATAACAACAAAGTTATCTGCCAGCATGTTTTTACTCAAAACTAAAATGATATGCATATTGATTGACTAGAATATCTATCACGTATATAGTTGAACATGTTGAGGTAAATAATACATGTATGAAATTTAAAAAAAAACAATGGTGCCATAACTATTTACTAGAGACATAAACTGTTTAAAAAAAAATAATATCTTAGGGGTGTATTTAGTTATTTGGATTAGTTAATGATTCGTTTCTTTGAACAGGATGATGTAATGACTTTTTTTATTCAAAAAAATAAAATAAATCCCTCTATATGATAACCGTACATTATGTTTATTTTTATGAATGACGAACCATAGGTATTGGATTTTAAAGATTTAACTATTGTGGATGATAGTTTGTACTAGCTTTTGACACTATAATACCATGCAGACATCTTATACGTTTGGGTATTTCACATCCAATCTTTTATGGTAATATTCTTTACAAAGCACAAACATGTCAGTATTCGCCTCAAAGCTAACAAAACCTTTAAACAGACTTATTAAGAAGGGATATATTTACGATACTGTAGTCAGGTCATTAACGATTGCATATTTTGGCTTAATATTGATTCACTTATAGGGTGTTTGCATCGGAATTAACATATTTATTCTAAAACCAGTTGTTGGCATGACACGGTTTATGTTCTTCTCATATATTTTATGATGGTATAATACTAAACCCCTAACGGGAAGGATTGTGCCTGATATTCATATTATTGAAGACATAATCTTTCAATCAGTTTAATTGAGGTCTGGAGCTGGCATGTCAGTAACTGCTTGTAGTCTGTTGTTATTTATGTTTTATTGTCATTTTGTTTATTTTCTTTTGTTTCCTATTCCGACATCGGACTCGGACTTCTCTTAAACTGATTTTTACTGTGCGTACTATTGTACGTTTGAATTCTACATTGGCTAGAGGTATAGGGGGAGGGTTGAGATTTCAAAAAACATGTTTAACCCCGCCGCATTTTTTCGCCTGTCCCAAGTCAGGAGCCTCTGGCCTTTGTTAGTCTTGCATCATTTTTAATTTTAGTTTTTCTTGTGTATAATTTGGAGTTTAGTATGACGTCTATTATCACTGAACTAGTATACATATTTGTTTAGGGGCCAGCTGAAGGACGCCTCCGGGTGCGGGAGTTTCTCGCTGCATTGAAGACCCATTGGTGGCCTTCGGCTGTTGTCTGCTCTATGGTCGGGTTGCTGTCTCTTTGACACGTTCCCCATTTCCATTCTCAATTTTAGTTAACTACATCATGTACATAGTCTAATAAATAATATACACGTAATATGATATATTGCAAGAAAAAAATCATTTATCCTTTTCTACCTTAAAGGAGATCCATCCTCCTAATACTTGGTTTATTTAGTTCTCCAGAAAAAAAGTTCAAAAAAGGAAACAAACAGCAAAAAAAACAAAACATTTCTTGCAAACAAAATTTTGAACTTTTAAAATTTCACTTTAGGTAAAATTAATGCATACAAAGGTATGCCATTTCATAAATTATCATTGTTTTTCGTCGTTGTTTAAATTTGTATGATCAGAATATCGGTACAAATATTTAACAATGCGTATTATTGTATTGATAAACAGACGTTTGTCACAATACATCTGTTTAAAAATCTTTATACTAGATGCGTAGCAAAACATTGTCACATTGCAAAATAATCAAACTATTTTATCAGAATTTGATTTATTGGCAATTCTTCAAGTTTATAAGTCATTCATCTACATTTGGTTCTACTTTTAATTGTCCAATCTAAAAATTTACAACATCATGATTACCTAGTTTTAGCTAATTATTTTAACTAATTATCATTTTACATTGTTTGCACAACAGCAACAGCGTGTATTATATATTTTAACGTTTGTTATACTCCTTATAAACATGGATGATCGTAGTGTCTCATTTCTGAGGATTTTTTTTATTTGTATTAGCAATATTATTTGAATAAAAAAATAGTTAATTCAGTTCAAACTTTTTTTTTTTATTTTTTAATGTTTAGTTTGTATTATGCTATAGAAAAAAATAATAAAAAGTACATTCACGGTGATAGTCAAAGTATGATTTTTTTTTATTTACCATGGAAAGACAACTTAACTATGTAAACTATTATAGCTGAAAATAATGATGATCACCGTTTTAGAATATTGCTACAAAACTAAGCAAATAAAATATAATTATCTGCGTAATATCCTCCAATACTACTAAATAAATAAAAGATACTAAAGGTATTCTGCATTTGTAAATACAGTAGTACTATTAAGATACATGCTATACTATTCTAATTTCATTTCAAATATTTTTCTCAACATTTGTTTGTCTCATTAAATATTTATCAGGATTTATTCTGCTATTTTACAATCAATAATAGCGCAACAACCCGTACTACTTTTAGCAGCCAATGACTGAGTAGGGACAATAAGGCCTTTACTTGATTCATATATTAGTGAAAGTTGAATAGATTCTATACATATTCAGAAATGTTACTACACTAAGACAAAAGGTGTCAAGACAATTAAAACAAATTTCACATTAAAGCAATTACTAAGGCAACAAACCGTAACCAAATTTGTGTATTTTCGATATTCACTTAATTTACGTCGTTTTTAAAGTTCGCATTGGAAAAGTATGTGCACATCTAAGAAACAACTTTATATTTGATGGGAAAAAGAAATGGTTATAATAAAACCTCTCTGAATTTTTTTTGTTGTTTCTTGTCTGCGCACGATGTTTTGATAAAGGATATAATATGAAAAAAATACAATAACTTTTTTTTAAATAGTGTATATTTTGGCGTATTAGTGACGTCATAACATCAAACATTTTATTTTATGCGTTTATTTTTCTTCATTTTATGCATTTTCAAACATTATGTTCAAATTTTAATAATTTTGAACTCTTTATTTTCTTGGGCCAACACCGGGCCTGAATGTTCCTAATGCTTTACAAATTAGATCGTCATTTTCTCAATTGAATAGTTTCATATTTCTTATGTCGGGGTTTTTTTACTCGATAATACAGTATGGTTTTTTCCTTATTGTTAAAGGCCGCACGGTTTCCTATAGTCGCTTAGACCCATTTTATTTGAACTTTGTTGGATAGTTGTCGCATTCACAATCATCCTGCATCTCCTTATTTTTATATAATAGGTATAACAATTTAAGAATTCTACAAACCTCTGTCCATAAGAAATAACTGTTTGAATAAGACAAAATGTATTACTTTACCTTCCTCAATATTTCTGTGTGCATTATTTGATTTACCTGGCGTTTCTCTCATTCCGAGGAAGCCTTGGTGCATGAGTTCTTTACATTTCTCCATACCATGAATGAGTAAATTGATTAATCACTTGTTTTTTCTAGGCTGAATATTGTAGCATTTATCAGATTAAATCGTAAGACCTTAAGTGAATAATGTATGAACGACGTTAACATGCAATATACATGCTTAGATCTGGATGTAAGTTTCGATGTTAGTCTTTAAATGAAACTGATTTTAAGTTTTCATTTAAATCTGATAGTGTCTTTTAGAAGAAATAAATCTGTGAAGTTTGAAAAAAAATGCTTTTTGTACATTTGTATAAAAGAAAAGACAGTAAAGTATTTTACAATACATTTTATGTTTTTTTTTATAAAGATGAATCACAATGCTGATTTTTTAACATATATTTTATAATGATTTTGTAACAATTAGAAGGTTTTCTTACTTTTCGTGGGTAACATATGGAGATTTTGGACTTGCGTGTTCTAATGACACACGTTGTAGTAACAAAACGACGAAATACATACGT